AAGATTAAAGGTGTCACAAGAGAGTAACAAGCAAAAAAGAAGGAGGGGAGATAAAGACGAGAGATGTTTGATAGGAAAGAAGAAGCAAACCACACCAGAGCACCCACCAACCACCTTCAAAGTTTACTTTTTACTCATCAGTGCAGCAAGCACAGAAAGCCAGCCACTCATAGTACACAGCAGTGTTTGAATCATGTCAAAATTGTTTTCAGTTTTAGATTTTTTTAAAAAGATAACACTAACATGGACAGCTTGAAATCATTGAGAGCTAATACAATTTTCCACCCCCCCCCCCTGACTTACATCTCTTTTATTTCACATTTTTCGCTATAAAGGTTGTCCGAATTATGGATGTGTCGAACACGTTTGTCAATCCCCAACTTGTTTGAGCTATCTGTGCCCAACTGTACTGATCTCTTATTAATATTGGTGAGTCCTTCATTTCACTTTCTGTTTGCAGTCTTTGGTTGGTGGTTTTTTGTTTGTTTGTGTTTTTAAGCATGAGGGGGCTATCCTGAAAAATGCTGTTTTGAGAAAATCCAAGGTAAAGTTTTAGCCTCTTGTTCAGTTTCTTTAAAAGACAAGGAGAGTTTTCTGTGTAACAAAACTAATATACACACCAATGAAACCAAACTTCTCCTATGGGTAGGGCAATTCCCACTTTAGGTGTAGGTCTAGATTTCTGGAAACCCCCAAAATCTGGGTTAGCCCGATTGTCCTTAAAAGCGACCAGTAATTTTTGAAAACATAAAAGACAATAATATGGAAGGATGTAGGCCTTGCTGAGAAGATGTAGCGCTAGTTTAAAAAATCGTCAGTATGTAAAAATTATAGGAGGCCATTTTTAATTTTAGCTGCACTGAAAACAAAAAATACTATGTCTGGAATGAGTGAAAAACTATCGAGGAGAAGTGGCACGAGCTGAAAGTCGTGTGGTTTGAATTTGAGAAGAGAGAAGGACATTGACAGAATAACAGTCATATAATGTGGGGAAAAAGAAAAACAGATAGACCAAAACAACAACAGAGGAAAAGACAAGAAGTCAGGACATACTACCAGTGGCACCCTCCGACTACCCGCGAATATCTGGGTGAATGCCAGGGTAACATTATGAGGAAGTAGCTTACCTATCATATTTCGAATATTTAAAAAAGTTTTAGTAGAGGTTTTACGACGCTCACAACTGCATAAGGTCATATAAGTGACAAAGATTAAAAGTGTTGCAAGAGAGTAACAAACATAAAAAAGAGGAAGGGGAGATAAAGAAGATTGATGTTAGATAGGAAAGAAGAAGCAAACCACACCAGAGAACCCGCCAACCACCCGCTATCTTGACTATGACTACTGTTCAGCAAACAGTATAGTATTGGTGGACATTTGAAGGATGAAGAAAAGACATCACAGCTTGTTCGTTAGAGTAAAAGAGAAGCTCAGTCAGTTTTAGTTTTAGTAGAGTTTTTACGGGGCTCGCAACTGCATAACAAACATAATAAAGAAGAAGGGGAGATAAGGACGATAGACGTTTCATAGGAAAGAAGGAGCAAACCACACCAGACCACCCGCCAACCACTTACCGATGAGAAGCTCATCGACACTATAGCGGTCATTTCGTGCTGAGAAAAAAAGCAAAGCAGACAGACAGACAGACAGAAACAGCAGAAGGGAGGGAAAGAAAAGAAATTGGGCCTACCGGGCCTACCCAGTGGTGCCCTCCAACTGTCTGCAAAATGCACGATACAGTAACAGTAATAATGGAATCACATCAATGGGTACTTCGAGAGCAGCCACCGCTCGCCTTTTTCCTCATTCTAAAAGCACAAAATATCACACAATGGTGAAGCATAAAAATACTTTGATCGCTAAGATTCAAAATGACAAGCACTCACACACACAAACCTGCTCAAATACACAATATGGCATAAAACTCTTCCAGTCTCCCACAAAGAACCACACTCAATACATTTCAAAACTTCAATTGATTTTTTTTTTTTTTACAGCATTATTATAATAGAAAACAAACAATTGCCCTGAATGTAGTAACAAAAGTTTGGATACAAGATAATGGAGCAGTGGATGGGTTGGGGGGGGAGGGTGTAGTAAGTCAACAACCATGTGTCATTGCGTGAAAATTTAAAAACCTTTCAGCGGGAAAAAAGAAAAAAAAAAAGAAAAGAAAAGAAGACCAATCTCCCTGCCACACAGAAAAATGAGTAATCCTATACACATATGACATCCTGAACCTCCTGCAATACATACACACACCAAAAAAAAAAAACCCAACACATTTTCCAAATCTTGAGGAAAAAGTATTTCTCAATGAGTAAGATGTTAAGCAGAAAATTCATTACATTTTACAATTTTGATTGTACTAGATTCCCAGATCTCCATGCCTACAAAAATTCATAAAAACTATCAGGGCACCAGCAGCCAAAACAGCTCGAAGAAGTTTATATATGAACCCAAACCACATCCTCAACATTCTCAAATTATACAAATGGAAGAAGTAGAAGAGCTATCTCAAACATTCTGTAGATCACAGATGTTTCACAAGTGAACACCGTTACTTCAGACCACACACACACACAGCCTGTCTCTAACATAGAAGAGTACAAGCATAAGCTACTAAGATCCCACCTGTATGTCTGTGCATCATATTCTCCTCCTAATGATAATAAGAATTCTATTTATATATAGCACATTTCCACACTCTACAGCAGCAAGCCCAAATGTTTTTTAGCTTGTTTTAGTAAGGTTTTACGGCGCTAGCAACTGCATAAAGTCATATATGAGCATGCCTAAAGAGCTTTACAATTTACAGAAGATCTTAGTACACTTGAAAATACTTTCTGCTTTCTGGGAAGCATAAAGAGCAGTAATATACCTGTGGTACTACAATAATCTTACATATGGTGGCAGGTTTGAGACACCTGCAGTTAAAACGATGTACACATAAGTTTTACTTATTCTGCTTGCTTTGTATTCGTGCAGACTGACAAGCTGAGATAAAAGAATCCTTGCCTATGCCGTATGTCAAGTTAAACTCTATCTTTCACGGCTTTAGAAACCTTTACAACAGATCCTAGAACACTTAGGAACATCCTGGGAAGCATACAGGGCACGCAGCTTATTAAACCCTCAACTGTCAACAAACACAAAATGTTTCGCTGTCTATAGTCGGACACCCATTTACACTTGGGTGAGGTAATGTGAGGAAAATTTGTGAAAAGTGCCCTTTCCAAGCACACAACATCAAGTCCCAGACATGATTTAAACTCACGACCTTAAGGTGGTTCACTTAAAAACCTTTAATAAGTTAAACCTTTCATAAAGACATGTTTTGCATTGCCTGGTTCGTCGAGATGTGGAAACTTGTGCAATAAAATGACTCATCAGATAAATCAAGGACTTACTTAACAGCCACAAAAGGATTACCCATCTATTAAGCAACTCAGTGAAAGTAACCTTCATGTCTGTTAATTGGGATTTCCGCACCAGCTCATCCTCGTTATTAAAGCTCTCACCTTTATATCAAACATGAGTAATTCTCTATTTTTGAGAGAGTGTGAGAAACAGGATGAATGCCTTTACAAAAATGTTTTTTATTGTCAAATAGTCAACAGTTTATGTCATGATCTAAGCTTAGATTAAAGCAACATCACGCTTTATTATGGGATCTTCTGGGGTATATCTGTCCAGATGAATCAAGGACTTTCTCAACAGCCACAAAATGATTACCCATCTATTAAACAACTCAGTGAAAGTGACCTTCATGCAAAAGAAGGTGAGATTTTTGGCAATGATTTCATTAAATCTACATCCTGACCGAGTTGCACATAAACATTCTTTTTCTTATATATCATTATCCTCCAACCCTCATCCCATAGAAAAACAAAACCAGTCAAACAAAACAAACCCCATTTCATTCTGAGAGATTCAAACAATAACAATCTTTATCTTTATCATTTTCTCCTCTATACCCAACGATAAAAAAAATATCCCCTAACCATTCAAGACATAACAAACCCCCAATAAGCATACAACAATAAAAGAAATAATCAGAGGATGAAAAGTCAACAGATGATAAGAAAAACCCAATGAAAATTTTACAGTTTTAATCAAACCTGTGTGAATCACTTTGGTCTCAAAATCTCAACCAGACATTAGAGTGGAGAAAGAAATGCTACTCAGTATGAGCCAAGACTAAAAAAAAGAATGCAACGCTCTTCAGACCAAAAAAAAAATACCCCTATTAATTGCAACCACTTCTCATCTTAACGCAATTAACTCTAATCCTCCTTACCAAAAATATACTTGTTTGCATTCCTCTTTATCCATTGTATAGATGCACTAGTGAGGCATCATGGTCAAATCAGGCGCTCTAATGCTCTCCCCCCATGCACAGCAAGGTCAAACATTAGTCACTCATTCTTAAAATTTGAAATAATATCTCAAATTTTTGTTAACTCCATCAAAAAAAATAAAAAAATCCAATCAATCATTCCACCCTAACTCTACTCATCCTCTACAAAACTGATTTAAGTTTTCAGCATTTCGGTAAATCTCTTTAATTGCACTGATGCGTAATAGTGCCCTCATTTCCCCAGCGTGTGAATCCTTTAGATGGATAAGAAGTCCTCTGTCATACAAGGACTTTATAATCCTATTGTTTTATTTTGTTAGTTATAAAAACCCAAAACAAAGTAGCACGTTGACACAATAACTAAAACACTCATTTATTGGTGTTAGAAGAAGAAGGCAAGACTGACGACAGACAGACAGAAAGAAAGAACAGAGGGCGAGTAAAGAAGTACTGGTATGACCTTACCGGTGGCGTTCTCCAACCACCAGCTTTGTACTAACCGACTCCCAACATTATCCGCTAAAATAAAGAACCAAATGACTCAACAAGGATCCGAAGCGTGAAAAACTGTCCTCTTACTCTAAAAAGCGAATGGCCCAGCAGTGCAGTGGACACTAGGGAAGGGGGGTGTTGAGAAGGGGGGCAGAGGAATGAGGGCTATCACAAGATTCAGCATCACAGCCACAGCTTGCACAGACTGGAGGGGAGGTCACACAGGTCGAAGGTCGTGGCCAGCGTCAGAGAATGCAGCACTGAGGAGCAAACGGGGGGGAAAAAAGTTTGTTTTTCCAAAAAGGTTTTAGTTTGTTTTTTATAGCAATTGCAACACAATATCAATAAGGTCATATAAATGCCAAAGATTAGAGGTTTTAAAAGTGGGTAACAAATACAAAAAAGAAATAGGAGTTGTAAGGTCAATAAATGTTTTGAGTTTTTAGTTTCAGTAGAGGTTTTACGGAGCTCGCAACTGCATAAGGTCATGTGAGCGCCAGAAGATAATATTATGTGTTACAAGAGAGTAACAAACTCACAAAAAAGAAATAGGAGAGACAAGGATAAAATGTTTGATAGCAAAGAAAGAGCAAACCACACTAGAGTACCCGCCAACCACCAACTAAGAGATTGGGCTATAACGTACAAAAGCTAGGATGAAAGTCATCTTTTGGAGCAAAGTAGGTCAATATCTCTAGGTTAAACCAAAACTGTTATTGTAAATGTTTCAGGACCCATCAATATGCAACTGATCAATGTGGTATTTATTTAACTAATACCAAAGCACAAAGAAAGGTTTTGTACAAGGAATGTCTTTATCTCTGGGTTTGATGGTAAAGAAGGAGCAAACCGCACCAGAGCACCTTGCCAACCAACCATCCACTCTAAAGATCTGGTGAATGCATGCGTGAAACTTGCTGGGTTCTGTACCTCCAAAAAGATTAACCCTTCCAGCGCCAGCCATTTTTGTACACTCCCTAACCTCAGTCCTAGGCAATGCAGCAGTATTTCAGAAAAATAGGAATCCATTCTAAAAATTCATGTAGTATCTTGGTAATCAGGTTTACATAAATAACATAATAATACATCATTGTATAAAGCTAAGTGAACAAATATTATGAAGATTAAAGTTTAATTAGGTTGGCTAATTTCGAAAAATGCTCAAATTCAGTACCCCCTGAAACAGAAAATATACGCTCTTGGGACGGTGGGAGGTAAAAGCGCTGCTGAAAATATACGAGCTTGGGGCTGGAAGGGTTAAAAACCACTAATCTCTAGTCGAGTCCACATAAGACGAGGTACTCACATCTCGGCCTTCTTTCTCTCTGCGCTCCGATCGGTCCCTGTCACCTGACCTGCGTTGCTGTTGTTGCGCCTCCGGCGCAGGACCACCGGCTGCGGCGACCGGCCGACCTTGACCCTGATGGTGCCTAGGCGCTTGCGCTGCGGGGCCGGTCGCGGCTCTCTGCTGCTCAGCAAGTGCCATACGGTTCTCCTCCTCCTGCAGCTGCATCGCAAACTCCAGGCTGGGGAGGATAAACGAATTTTAAGTTTTATTCAGAGTTTTACGGCACTTGCAACACAATAAGGTCATATAAGAGCCGAAGATTAGAAATGTTACAAGAGAGTAACAAAACAGAAAAAAGAACGAGGGGAGAAAAAGACGAT